ACCCACAAACTGTCAGGACAGACATGGTGTGCTCCCTGACTCTCATAAACCCCGGATGTTCCTCTCCACAGATACTCTGACGTGTTACAGGGGGCTCATGTTTAGGCTTGGCAACGGCTTTGCTGAGGAAGCTGTCGAGTGGACTGCCCTAGGGTCTCAGGTGTGTGAACCTGATGAGATTTGTCAAGAAACACTGCTGCTCATAGACGTAGGTACGTAGGCTGAGCCGGAGAGCTATCCTCCTGCACTGAGCTAGTCCCAGCTGGGGCCCTAGATTCTATGCCCTGTAGTTCCTGCCCAGCCCCCACACAACTGAGATCTCTGACCCCTCCCTCTGCACCTCTTCTTGCTGTGTGCTAATATATGGTAGCCCCACACCCAGAGAACAGTACTGGAATACAGGATCCCCAGTGTCCTGGATCCTTTGAAGGTGTGCTCGGCTGGGGATGTGGTACAGTGCTGGGTACAGTGCCTGTTTAGCATGCACAAAGCCCGAACTTGATCTCCAGCCTCAGGTCAACTGGGTGTGCCTGTCGTACCAACGCTGGGGAGGCAGAGACTTTTACAGTGAGATTCATTGCTACTCTCAGTGTAAAGTGAATTCAAAACCAGGCTGGGCGGGGAAGTGGGAAGGAGAGAGAAGCAGAGAACAGGAGTGTGCTGTGAAGGGCAGAGTGTAGAGAGAGACCCAGCAGGCTGGAAGAGATGCTGACCAGAGTGAGGCTGCAGCATGGTGCAGGGGCTCAGGGGAGACTGTGTGGAGGGGCCTGGGAACATGGTCTGCGAGGGACAGAGCAGAGGGAGCCAGATTTGGGCTTCAGTCTGTGGCAGACTCAGCTCAAGATGTGTCCTGTTGTCACTGAGGATCGTACTGTCCCTGAGTGGGAGCATCAAGGGACCCAAAAACTGGGATTTTTCTTTTCTTTTTTTTCTTTCTTTCTTTTTTTTCTTTGTTTTGTGTTTTTTTTTTTTTTCGAGACAGGGTTTCTCTGTGTAGTCCTGGCTGTCCTGGAACTCACTCTGTAGACCAGGCTGGCCTCGAACTCAGAAATCCACCTGCCTCTGCCTCCCAAGTGCTGGGATTAAAGGCGTGTGCCACCACCGCCCAGCCTTTTCTTTTCTTTCCTTTTCTTTTCTTTTGTTTTCTTTTCTTTTGCCACCCTCCCCTTTCTAGCCTGGTATTCTCTCTTGTATGCCCTTAGGTGTAAAATCTCTCATATTGGCGAGCAAAGGCCTCAGCAAAGCTGCCAGTAACACGACCCTCGATGTCCAGGAGTTTTCCAAAAAACCTGGAATAGTGGCTGCCTCTTATGTCCACTTCTGTGACACTGAACTGTGCAACAACGCTTCCAGCACCAGAGTCCTACTTGACAAACTGTCACTTACAAGTATGTGACCAGGGGACACAGCATTTGAGGGAACAGCCCTTGGCTGCAGCTGAGAGCATGCTCTACTGCCCTCCTTCTCTCTCCTCAGACTCCTCTCAGCTGAACATTCACCAGTGTCCTGTCTGCTTGAGATTTCACGGTTCCTGCTCCCAAGAATCCAAATTTACCATCTGCCCTAAGTCCACCCGCTGCTATTACAGTGACATAACAGTAGAAGGAGGTCAGTCGTGAAGTCTGCATCCCCAGGGCCACGGCTCCAGGGACTCAGGAGAAAGGATGGGTGCTGCTGACTTCTGGGTCTGAGAGTGGAGGGCAGAGGCATGGATTGCTGTAGCAGAGAAAGTATGGCTAGAGTCTAGAACCCTGGGTCTGAGAGAGAAATTCAGGACTTGGACGGAGAGTCCTTAGTCCACAGGAGGAGGGCTGGAGCCTGAACCACTGGGCGTGAGTTGTTTGTTGTTATTGTTGTTGTTTTGTTGTTTTCTTTTTCAAGTTGACTGAAGCAGCCCTCTACATCCTTTGCCCCTGATTGGATCTTTATATTGTAGGTGGGGTCAATATCATGTTTAGCATTGATGGATGCCTGGCCAAGTCTGCCAAAAACCTAATGAAAAACCAAGCCTCAGTTGGGATCTTCTCCATAGAGGAAGCCAATGATCAAAATACCACCATTTCATTCTCACATGTACTTGTCCCGAACACCCTCCCGGCCTGGATGTTAGGGCTCTGGGCTCTTCTCAGCTCTTTGTGGGCTGGGATTTGTCCTCTCTGCTGAACCCCTTTCCCTGTCAATCTTTATCTCTCTTGGCCATCCATACCCAGCCCTCCTCTGACCTCATAACCTAAAGAACTGAGACTGGGCACTGTTGGCCTGCGCTGGCGGGTGCCCTCATCCCTCACCCACACACCTCTGCCTCCTCATGTTTAGATATGGGAGCCACTGAACTCACCCTGCTCCAGAGCAGACAACCGCGCATGGACCACACATGTGGAGAATAAAGTTGCTGTTATTTACCAAATACTAGGTTTCTCTGTGTGAGGAGATGAGGGTACACACTGGGATCCATGAGAGACTTCCTGCCAGGGCCTGGTTCACGGTGCTGTGTGCCCAAACCTTCCCTGGGGACTCAACACTAACATCTCCTCACCCCCACACTGGGATTCCTTGACAGTGCAATGTGAGAATACCACCAAAGACCAACTTGGTGAACCATGAGGTTTACAGGAATATGCATGGGTGAGTGGTGACTTAGAGGAGCAGAAGTCACCCAAAGACAGCTGCTTCACCAGAGCTGGCCTCAGCATGAGTGACAGCTCACAAACCTGGGAAGCTGGAGCACCCTGCACAGCATGGAGGCAGGCCATGAAGCTTGAGGGTGGCCTTTCTGGGTGCCTCGGTTGGTGTAAACCTCTTGCAGGCAGCTTGTATGGGTTCTGCTTCTTCTGGACATCTGATCTGGTGTCAGAGTCTCCATTGCAGCGTGGCTTGTCTGAGAGTCTTCTTTGCAGCTTTGATTGTGTTCCCAAGCATAGAGGGGATGGCGAATCTGCTTGGTCTCAGGCACTTCCTCAAAGTACTTTGAATTGTTTTCTATGACTGTATTTATGTGTTCTCTTTATGTCCAGATCATAGTCCTTGTCACCCTCCTTACAGGGCCCCTCCTGAATTCTCCCCTGCACTTCACCTCTGAGAAGGGAGAGGTCCTCCCTGGGTACCAGCCCATGTTTTCATCTCAAGTCATTGCAGGACTAGGTGCATCCTGTCCCTCTGAGGCCAGACAAGGCAGGCCAGTTAGTGAACAGGACTTACAGGCAGGCAACACAGTCAGGATTAGCCCGTGCTCCAATTGTTGTGGGACTCACATGAAGATGAAGCTTCACATGTGCTACGTATGTGTGTGTAGAGGGGCTAGGTCCAGCCTTTGTCTTCTCTTTTGTTGGTGGTTCGGCCTCTGGGAGTCCCCAAGGGTCCAGGTCAGTTGACTGTTTTGGTCTTCTGTGGAGTCCCTATCCCCTCCAAGTTCCTCGATCCTTCTCCCAATTCTTCCCAAAGACTTTCAGAGCTCAATCTAGTGGTAGGCTGCATAAAGCAGGCTTATGAGCCCCACGAGTTGATGTCATTTTAATGAATGTTTGACCCCTACTTGCTGGTAATTTTTGCAGAGTAAGCACCCTTTGCCATTTCATAGTATTTAAGCCTGGAGCCTTGCTTCAGCAATTCTGAATCCTAACATTTGGGGGCTTGTCCAAGGTCGCTGGACAACCCCTCCATTTCATGGTAGAGCATTTCTAGGGGAGCAAATGGCTCTCTACCCATTCATGAGTTGAGGCACGCCTCTGTGTTGTGTGTCTTTGTGTTTTTTGTCTCTTGTCCTGTCTTGCTCAGAGTTGTCTCCTGCTCTGCTCAGTGTAGGGTGGTTATTTTTCTTTTCCTCCTCTTTTTGTCTTTTCTTTGACTGGCACGATTAAGAGGCCCCTGGAGGCAGGATAAAAGCACCAGAGGCTTCCCCCGGCCCAGAGTTTCCAAGGACACTCCAGGACTCCTTATGTTAGGAAAAATAGAGTAGTCTCTGCCAGGTTTGGGTAGAAGGTGACAGGAGCAGGATGAACCTAGTCGGCAGAGCCCTAGGACAGGAAAGGCAGCCACCTCTGAACACTTCCCGGGGCAGTGGGAGCTTCAACCAAAAACAGTGTTTGGTGACAGCTCCTGGGTCATTCCTGATAGGCAGGGCCTGGCAGCAGGAGAGACGGCCTTCAGCTGCACTTGGATGTCTTTTTCAAAGTCCTGGAGGTTTATTATGTGCGTGTGATTTATTTGTTCTCCCCTACTACCTTGAGAGATACATGGGACAGATAACCTGCTCCACTCCGCTGGGCCTCGCCCAAGTTACACTTCACGGACTTCCAATGCCTGGCAGCGAATCTAAATGTGACTATAGGGTCAGGGGAACTCACCACCGTTCGGAGGAACTCTCCTCTCCAACTCTTGCACTGCAGAACATCTCGGTCCCTTTGGTGGTACATCTGAGTCTCAGGGGGAAAAACGGTTAGAACTTCATCTGCTGGTCACTCACCCCATGACTTATTTGTGACAACACAAAACAACCACCACCACCAAGTGGCTACATTGAGACAACCGCAGCTGATGAACTGGTGACCAGCCTTGGAGTCTTTCCTCCTGCCTGACGAAGCTGGCAGCAAGCCAGGCTCAGCTCGCAAGCCGCTCTCATAGGGTCCACCAGCTTCTCAGCCTCTCTGGTGAGAAAGCTAGTGAGGAGAATCGGAGTCAACAGGAAGCAAGGTGCTCCTCCCTTGAACTTACAGCTAAAAGAAATAAAGTTCAGTCTGTCCATTTTAAATATATAAATGTATGCGGCCATTGCATGTTTACTTCTGACCTGTCTTCAATATACGTTTACTGTGATCTGTATGTCTTTGTTATAGAATATTAATTTAGAATATATGGTTAATCATCTATAATATTGGTAACAGAAAGGCGACTTAAAACAACTCAGGGTTAAAGCCATTCTGGACAACCCCACATGGCATGAGCTAAGCAAGGTCTCTGGGAGATACTCTTTGAACTTGGATAATATTTTTATGCAATTTCTGTCCTAAAAATAAAACTTATAAAAGATAGGATTTAAAGATGACTCTTTGGGGAGGCATTGAAGGTGCACCCTCATGTGCACCTTCAATGCAGGAGTTTTGTTTTGTTTCTAGCAGCCGAACTTGGTCGAGTGAAGGTAATACACTTGGTGTTGATTTTATAGATACTGAATTGTTTAAACTGTTGAGAATTATTTTTTGTCTTCTAGAGATTATGATTAAATATATAAAGCTATGGACAATTTTGAAATTTGGTAACTGTTTTATTGGAATGTCTTTGTTGGTATCTGATGGGTACCATGGAGGAGGAAATTCTATTGGACACCAGCAGTCAAGTTATTCACTCATGGAGGGAAGACAGTTCTGGTGAGAAGAACTCGGACGTCCCTATTATGACAGCTATGGATCTGATGAAAACCATGAATATAATAGAAGATTTCCTTTTTAAAAATGCAGCAATTGATCAACCCAATATGTTACTGGCTAGAAATATATCTCTGAGGTCCTTTTTTATCTGTTGTAGCTTTTTTGTCTTTTTCTTTTCCCTTTTATCATGTCAAATGCATTGCTCTACAAATTAAGAGATTATAAATTTCTTAATAAAAATTAAGAAATTTGTTAATTTAAAAAACTATACTGAAGGGTTAAAACCTTAAAAAGGTTAAGACTCATTGGCTCTTGGACCTGCCCCCCTCCCTTCACTTTGCCTGAGCTCCAGTGAGGCTCCAGCAAGGCCTCTCCTTTCAGTCCTGTCCTGGCCAGCAGGGCATTAAACAGGGGTCTGAGAAGATCACCTGGAAGAGAAAGTGGGGGACAGGCCAAAGCAAAGAAGGCGCCCTGTCTATAGTCTGATCAAATCGCCATTTTTACTTTTTCACACAGGG